CTCAACTTGACTTTTGTTTTTACTAGATAATGGTTTGTGTATCAGTCTGTCCATTTTTATGATAGTTCTTATATCAAGAACATTAATTAAATGTCTAGCATCGACAACTACGTGATCAATTAGCTACGTGTGAAGTTAGCAGACTAGCAGACTGTACAAGCATATTGTTAGCTGATGCTAGCACTACGAGCCTTTGAACATTATCATTTAAGATATCGTGCAGTCTGTGTTCTCCTATTGTCGGTCTTAAGTTAGATTCTTTTTTGCGTTAAAGTCTCTAGAAATTATTTGCATGTCTTGTTTGGGGGATACTCTCTAGCGTTTTTCCGAGTTGTTCATAGAAGTCGTCGTTGATTATTTCCTCTTTATTTTCTGTCGGAGCATGTGCAGATATAATTAAGATATTACTACTTTCCTTTCACTCTAATATATCACAGTCTTTCACTGATGGGCGTACCACTTATACCATTGTTCATACATTCTTCTCGGACCACGAAACCTGCGCTGAACTCGTGTATTCCTTTCTGGTTTTAATTGTAGAGATAACCATCTTGTCTATTCTTATGTTGTAGAAGAATCTCTAAATTGAGAAGAATATGCTGTGATTTTATTTCATTTTCGTCAACGAGTTTTAAACATTGTAAAATTTCTACAGAATCTATATTAAGTAGTACAGTGTGCATTCGTCTTTGATCAATATTATTCAAATTATGTAAATATAATTTGTCCAAATCTGACCTCTGTTGATAGCAGCTGAGATAATTAATTCTGTTTATATGAAGACGATAAATAAAAGTTTTAAACATATGCTAACTAAAATATCAATCTAATTGAATCAGTGTTTGTGAAATTTAATGAGCCGCAACAAACAAAAATGTCAAATAAATGTGTCAAATAATAAATTGTTAATATCATTGAAAGTATTATTGTTTGTTGCACTAAAGATAAACAAATAAATAATATTGAGAACAAGAGGCAATATTGTTCATACCGTGTAGGTCTCGGAGATTTTTTACTTTTTCAGTCACGGTACATACGAATATACGCAGTAAATTACAAGGACTCTGTATAATAAAAATCGTTAAATTATACGGAGTGGTAATTGTAGTATACAATTGAAAATAAATCTGCGGCAATAGTTTGTTCGCAAATGAAGTTGAAGTGTTAATTAAATACACAATTATAACATCAAGTGCCAGGATAAGAGTCAGGAGTAATATGTTTAGGAGTAGAATGAACTATAAAACTGATAAATAATAAAAACTTTAAAACTGTAAGTAGAAGACTAAATCGAACAGAGCATTAAGAACAGAGCATTTAGGATAAATTGTATGTCCTACAATATATTGATGTGTGAATAGGGCTTTTTGTTGTATTTCTGTTCGTTTATTCTAGCGAATACTATTCGATTTGTTTGTCCTATATATTTTTGGTTACAACTTTTTTAATGGGAATATATCCTTTGAATTTCTTAGCCTTGCTACTAGACTTTTGTAGTATAATATATAACCATTTTGGTTGTTGTTCTGTTCTGTTCTGTGCTTAAAAGCGTTTAATAAAAAAGTTTAGCAACTATTAGAGAACCAAAAATTACAAAACTTAATTTTAATATTCCTATAGAGGATCGTAAAAAAGTAAATTAAAAACATTATATTATCTAATCTAAATGACTTGTGAGTTAATTGTTTCGAATTAATGTATTTAAATGTAAATTTATCAGGGGACTTAAAAAATTAGTACAAGGATAGAAAATTAAAATTAAAGAAATTCAAAAATGGAACAGTTACTTTATTTGGTTTCTAACTAAAATAATGCAAGGTTTTTAATTTGACTTGTTATAACAGTATATAATTATCTATTTTACTACCAATGGCCTTTAGTTTGATTGGTCGAGTACATAAGCCTGAGTTTACATGACTAGATAAACGAGTAGGTATATAGGATATCTTGTCAGACATTTAATGCTTAGCTTTCATAATTAAAAAGTGGTACTAATCCAAATAAACAAATAAAAATACTTAACAGATATGAAACGCATACAAAGGGTATAAATAGTCGTATCTTTTACCTGCTTAGTTGGCATCTATATGGCTTGACCATGAGGAAGAGTGTAGGGCTTCTGCAGATATGTTGCAAATGATTGTGTAACTTACTGTTATAATTTGTTGTTTCTTGTTGTTTTTACAACCTTGTTTTATGCAAGATACCTACAAGATATATACAACGAAATAGAAAACCCCCAATGCTTATCGAAAAACACAATATAGAGTCGCTAGCAACAGAGAGTACAAAACTCTTTTATGAGAACAGGATTACCAGCAAACTAAAAGATATCGAGTTACAACCAAAATAAGAACTAGAAGATACTTGGCAAAAAATCAGAAAATACATCAACCAAACAGCAAAGGAAGCAATTGGAAAGTGGAAAATTAACACGAGTGCGATAAACCACACCAAACCGTGGTTTTGTCAAGAGGTAAAAGAACTCTCTGAATAAAAACGCAAATGCTACCTGAGATATAAAAGCACACAATAGGAAGAAGCTCTTGCAGAATATGTCCAAGTAAAAAACGAAGTAAACGCAAGAATAAAATCAATCAAAAGAACATTTGGCTAAATTCACCAGCGACATGTACTACGACCTACATGGTGCCCAAAAGAAAGTATGGAAAATGCTTCAGAATAGAAAAAAAAAACCAATAGACAAGGGAGTACCTATAGAGACATAACAACAGCATTTTAAGGAGCAATATGATGCTGAAGAAACGCTGAATATAAACGATAATGTAGCAGATATAAGTGCTACTATCAATGACAAAGAGCTAAAAAACAGAAAATCACCTGTAATAGATAGTGTACCCAATGTGCTCTTAAAATATGGAGGCCTGAACTTGCGAGTAAACTGTCACAACTATTTAACAAAATCTTAAACGACACAGAAACACCAGAGGGATGGCTTAAGAGCATCACACTCCTCATATTTAAAAAAGAACAAAAAACTTACCCACAAAACTACAGAAGAATAAGCCCCTTAAATACAACGATGGAACTTTTCACGAGTATTCTTAAGGACAAATTGGAAAGGCAAATCACTAATGCAGAAGAACAACAAGGTTTTACAAGAGGGCGGTCTATAACAGATACAGTATTCATAATAAAACAAATAAAAGAAAAAGCTATAGAGTTCGGCATGCCAGTGTATATTTGCTACATTGATCTGACGAAGGCGTTTGACAGGGTTCGACAATTCACTGAAAATATCCCAACACCGGAAGAAATTAGACAAGCCGACAGTTTAAACCCCTTTTTGTTTAACCTACTCATGGGCATAATTTTAAACAAAGTAACATTTTTTAATCTCGGATTGGTATGGTGTATTAATATTCTTGAAAGTTTCATTAGGTGCTGATGTCGTCATATTTGATTTTCTTGAAAATCAAATATTGGTATGGTGTGTTACGCAGATGATGCAGCAACTACTGCCAAATCAGAAGATGATTTTCAGAGACAGCTCTTTCAGTTCTTTTAAATAAGCAGCCATCTAAAATATGACCATTTCTACCAACAAAACTAAATGTATGACAATAGCGAAAGATCCGCTCAGATGTAAGTTAGTAATTGAGAACAACCCCATAGAACAGGTGATGCAATTCAGATATCTGGGCATAGATATATTAAGCACACATGACCCAGTAAAGGACCTAAGAAGTCAGATCAACCAAGCTTCCGCATTGTCAGTTTGTCTGCGGGAGATAGTCTGGTCAAATCCATATTTGCGCACAGATAGTAAAAATAAAATAAAACGAAACAGATGCTAAGGGTTTCCGAAATGAAAACTCTAAGAACAATAGTGAGCAAAACAAGAAGAGACAGGGTGAGAAATACAAACGTTAGAGAGCGGTGCAAAATTCAAGATATCGTAAGATGGGGAAGGCAGCGTGAAAGGATGTGGTACAATCATGTAAGACGAATGGATGAGAATAGACTCCCAAAAATTGCCCTAGAAAAACAACCCGCCCGGTTGAAGACCTCCTGGAAGACCATCTAGAAGATGGAGGGATAGTTGGCAATCTACCCCCCAGGAAATTAACCAGAGGCAGCTTCAGAATTAATCAGATCGAAAGATCTCCAAGAAGTAGAAGAAGATGTTAAAATTTAGAATTTAAGCAGCAGTTTGAACTAAAAGAAGCTTTCCATTGAAGAAAAATAATTTGCGGCCGCCGTGTATGTAGAAAAATATTGTGAATAGACTTTTTAAACTGATTATACTGCAACTTATATATAATTTTTAACAAAGTTTAGATTTTTCCTATACTTGAGCTCAGAATAACAAATGTAGATAACTAATTAAATTATTGAGAAGTCAATTCGGGCGAATTAAACATCTAGCACGAATTTGGCAAGGTTATTTGCTTCTTAGATTTTGTGCTAATGATCGATTATTAAACATTAATTAAACTAAAAATATTGTTAGGTATAGTTGGTCTCTAGCCCAAACGTATGATTATTACTTATTTTATTAATTAAATTATGTTTCATTTCTTCCTTTTAGTGTTTTATTAAATTTAGAAAATTATTATAAATGTTTCAAAATATGTATTTAAAATCTTGTTGGAGATTATGTTTATAACTGATATTCAATAACTTTTGACACCATATATTTGTCTATTGGTTTTCCATCACTATTATTACATTAAAATTAGTATAACTTTTTAATAACAAAATAATTTTCTACGACCTCTCAACATTTTTCCGTATTTTTGTACAATAAATAAGAATGGCTTTGTATGGAGTTTTTCCTAGAATACCATTTTTTTATCTAAAAATTCAATTAAAATAAATCCCACGTAGTCATAGCTTTGTTTTAGTAGAAAACAAAGCAATTGGAATGAGAAATCAATTAACGTTGATAACACTTTATGATAGTAAACAATTGCAACTAAACCTTGAAAATTAATTGCTAAAATTTCCCCTTGTTATGAATATTTAATTGTTCACAGTTATGTGGGGATCATCCCCATCTCTTTTTGCTTCAGGTTCGCTGGGCTCCATGGTAGGGACAGTATCTTGTGGAGCGGGTACTAACCCTCTCGAATGGACCGGTCAGGTGACCGTCCGCAAAAAACGTAAACCGTACTCGAAATACCAGACGCTGGAGTTGGAAAAAGAGTTCCTATTCAATGCCTATGTTTCTAAACAGAAACGATGGGAGTTGGCGCGGAACCTCAACTTGACCGAGCGCCAGGTGAAGATTTGGTTCCAGAACAGAAGAATGAAAAATAAGAAGAACTCGCAAAGACAGCAAACGCAGCAGCAGAATAACAACAACTCGGCTACCAACAACCAGAATCATCACGGGTCTCATCACCATCCCTCGCACCAGGTGCACACGCCGCATCACATTGTAAACCACCACGTTTCTGCTAATGGGACGTTAAAACATCATCAGTGACCAATGCCGTTTTCTGGGGTAGTTTTGGGCCACCATCACCATGGGATAGCGAATTAAAATACTCTTTAGTGTCATTTTTACTGCAAGAAAGATGGAACTGTACGCTTTGACCGATTTTGGTGATTTTTCGTACTACTGTTGCTTTAATGGGTAGAAGTATGCAGGATTTGTGTACAAATTTTTAATAATCACGTAAAATTTTATATATTAATCTGTTTTTCGACACCAACTATGTTTTTGTGTATTTAATACATTTCAATTTAAAAGTATATGCAAAATATTAAAATTTATACAGTTAGTAATTTATTTACGATCTAATTGGTATAAGCTTATGTTTTATTGACATCCCAAATCGCCATGTTCCTATTGTATATATCTTTAATAATAAGTTAGCGGTATTGTAAAGTCAGCATTTAGAATTTTAGAAATAAATTATTTTTACATCGCTAATATCTTCCAGTAGTGATCAAGAAATGAGTACTCACCGAGCCATGAGCCTATCTTTAATATACTACTTCTTACATCGGGTGACCACACGCGATTTTTTACTGCCATGTGTAAATACGAAGGAAGTTCGCCAGCTGGCTGGCGGGTTAGCTTTCCTTTGATGAAAACCTTTTTTTCCAAAAACAAAACCCTCTTCGGTTAATACAAATCTTTAAGAGGATTAAGTTTACTTTACACTCCCTTATAATTTGTGTACCTTCAAGAATAAATTTCTTGACTATCATATTATCACTACTATAGTTACCACTTGTTATTAATTTTGGAGTTACATTACATTACATTTTCTTAAAGTTTACCTCAATGTTAAGAGAATTTGATAGTAAAAGTGAAGTTGCATTTCGTCTCAGATACAAATGGTGTAGATAAGGGTATAATTTTTATATGCCTGCATTATAATAGTTTTAAGTTAAGTAAATTCGTGTATTTCATATGTCTCCCAAACAACATGCCCCTAGAGTTTCTTAAATCATAGAAGTTTAAAAATGTATGTATAAAGATTTCATACTCTTTCTCATAAAATCTTCATTCTGCAGCATCCATGACATTTAATATTTTTAGGTGCTTTCTCAGTCGATAATGACCGTTAAGGACGTTTAATCGAGAGGTGAAAAGGAGACTTAATTATTTTAAGATGTGGACATATATAACGATTCTAAAGATCCCATTAGTGAATCACGTTAGGAACGTTGATGTGGTAAGAAGTATAAAAAAAAAGAAGTTGGAAGGAAAATAAAAGAAATAAACAACAATATATGGAAAATATGATGTGTAGAAAAAAGACAGCATCTTGCTGCTTATAATCCAAGGCAAATTAGAAGGCAGAATTAGAATGTGGGAAAATGACGAATATCTTTTCTGTGGGAAAACGACGTTTCTCATCTATGACGAGATGAAAAACCTATGAGCATGGTATGGTTGCATCTCAAAACAACTATGTTGAGCAGTTCCTTTTAAAAATTAAAGTAGTTGAAGAGGAAATATTCTGCAATAAGGGTAAATAAATGCTCACTGCTTAGTTAATTTAATTTCCCCAAGCATTCTCTTGCTCTTAATATTTTTTATCTAAGTCTAATTAAGCATGTTCCAATAGCGTAAGTTTTCTCTTTAAAGAAGAGTAGAAATTTGGCCCAGGCTTTTTTTAGGCTTTCCAAGAGATAAGTTTACAACTAACATCACAATTCATTCATAAAGCTATACTTTCTAGGCATGTCGTTTTGGAACGGACCATAAGACTGATCTTTATCAGAGTTCAATCAAGAAATGAGTCCTTCTTTGGTTATAATATATATGGTCTTCATATTTTCTTTTTCTACTTTTTGAGCCTGTTTACATTCATATCTGGACAAAAGCTTTCCCATGAGTCCTCCACTCTTCCCTATTTTGTGCTATTTGGTACCAGCTTCTAAACACTTTTTCTTTGATGTCGTCTAGCCACCGTGGTCGCGTGGTCTCCAATGTATAAGGTTTCTCGTCCACTTTTCGTTGATTTGTCAAATGCACCTTCTATATAAAAAAAAAGAAACACATTGCTATTTATTTTTTCCTCAAAGCATCCTCTATGTCATTCACTAACTGCTCCAATAACGTTTTGTCAATTTGTACCAGCTCTATTGACTGGTAGAAATCAAGTTTTTTCTCAAGATGATTCGTTACTATTCTTGTAAGGATTTTGTATAGGTGACTAAGAATACTTATAGGTTTTCTAATTCATGGGATCTACTTTTTTGTACAATAGAATTACCTCAGCATTGTGCCATTTGTCTAGTATATTACTGTCCAAAAGGCACATGTAAAAAGGGTTTTTATTTTCTTAAGTAGGCAAGTGCCTCTGATTTTGATTGCATCAGTAACTACACAATCTTCGCCTGAAGATTTGTTATTCTTAGCCTTTCTTAGGGCTAATTTTATTTCGTCCATTGTGGTTTCCGGTAGTAGTTCTGATCCTTGGTTAACAATGCCCTTTTTTTAGTTATATTTCTGGTACTTGATCTTCTCTGCTATTTGCTTTGTGTTGGCTTGTGTATAGCAATTTGTAGAAGTCTTCAACTATTTGAAAGGTTTCCTCTCTGATATGATTATCTGCAGATTTTTCATTATTTTAAAGCAGATGAATGATATATGGCAATGATTTGGGTATTTGTAAAACTTGAGCAATATTGTAATTAAAATTATATGTTTTATGTGATAAATAATAAAGTATAAGGTTTTTAAGTTTCGCTGCGAAGAAATTATGAAGAATTTGGCAGCTAAAAGAACATTTTTTTGTTATTTATTATTTAAGAAGCAATATATCTTTGAAAAATTTGTTGTTCAAACTTGCATACTTCTAAATACACCCATAATACATTTTAATAGTGAAAGCTATGAAAGCTACACTGAATAAACCGTGCAAAAATAGGATATCTTAATGAAATATGTAAATTTTTGTATAAAAAGGTAATTCAGTTATTACCTTATTTATAGTATATTTTTATTTTATTCTATTTGTGAAATATTTATTATTTCGTACTAAAAATAAATAATTACAATCGATTTATAAGAAATCGAATAATCGATTCATTGAATATATATTAATCGATAAATTCATTTGTTGATGTTCAATTTTTTGCGTGTGTCGATGATAAAAAAAAATTAAAATGAGAGCAATAATCTCTACATTGTCATGTTATTGTAAAATATTTTTTATCTAATATTCGAAATCGTGTGGGATATCGGGTAGTTTTGATTCGATTATATTAATCGACCTATTTAGCGAAAAGGAAAACGTAGTTGGTGACAGTAAGGTATTGCTAAAATATTCGTGGTGAAAAATTGGATATTTTATTAGGAAATCCTAAGTAATGTCCTAGTGATAACAAGAAATAAACGTTTTTTCTTCTTGTAATAATTTTGTAAAATTTTTTGATAGCCTAAAAAATACATTTGGTATTTTCAAATTCAAGAAATATTTGTATCCTGTCCAAAATAACGGGATAATAAAAGGTAATGAACTGAATGAAAACTTTTGTTTTGTGGAACCACAAATCGATTTTCATATATCAAGCTTCCCTATTATTTTTGTGTATTAATACAGTCATTTTATTCTATGTTATTAGCTTAAGGTTACGAATAATCTCATTTGCTTTTTATCTTCTTCTTCTTCTTAGTCGTTAACCTGATGCAGGTATCGTGATATCATGAAGCTGTTAGGTAATTTTTCCAATGTTCCTCCACGTTTTTCTATCTTCTGCCAATCTAGCACATTCTGACAATGGAGCGCCAATGGTAGCAACAATATGGTCCGTGTATCGTGTAGGAGATCTACCTCTACTTCTTTTGCCTTCTACTTTTCCCTGGATGGTAAGTTTTTCAAGACCATTTCTTCGAAGCACATGTCCAAAATAGCTTATTATCTGTTCTGTTATTTGTGTTCTTAGTCTTTTCTTTATGTTTAGCTGGACCAGTATGGATTCATTTGTTCTTCGGGCCACCCATGGTATTCTCAGCATTCGTCTCCAGCAGTACATCTCAAATACATCTATGTTCTTTTTGTCTTTCTCAGTAAGGGTCCAGCATTCCGATGCATAAGTAAAAACTGGAAAAACTAGACTTCTTACTAGTCTCATTTTTGTATCGGTAGTAATTTCATGGCTTTTCCAAATTTTTGTTAATTTTGCCATAGCGCTTTTTGCGATTGCTGACCGCCGCTTTATTTCTTCAGTACAGCCTCCTTTGTTGGTTATTAATGAGCCCAGATACACAAATTTATCTACAACAGCGATATTGTTTATCCTAACCAGATGATTTTGATTGTTGTTAGCTCTGTCAATTATCATGATTCTCGTTTTATCCCTGTTTATTTTAAGGCCCATCGATAAGGTTACGTCTTCTATCCGTTGTAGCAGGTGAATCAATTCAGTTTCAGAACTAGCGAGGATAGTAGTATCATCTGCATATCTCAAGTTGCAAATCTTCTTCCCGCCAATGGTGATGCCACCATTCCAGTCCTCAGTAGCTTTCCGCATTATCCATTCACCATAGATGTTAAATAAAATTGGGCTTAGTATGCAGCCTTGTCTCACGCCCTTTGTGACCCTGAACTGTCAGTTAGTTCCCCATTTATTCTAACTCTGGCATAATTGTTATTGTACAGGCTTTTAATTAGCAGTATCAGATGATTAGGGACTCCCATTTCAGACAAAACCTGCCACATTTTACTCCAGTTGACCAAATCGAAAGCTTTACTATAATCTATGAAGCACAAATATGTTGTGATGTTGAATTCTCTGGATTTTTCTACAATCTGCCGTACGTTTAAAATTTGTTCTCTAGGGTTCTCTATCTTATGTTCTCTATCCTTAACACTTAACATATGATAATGATATGACAGACGACCTCTCAGGTCGTCTGTCATATCATTATCATATGTTAAGTGTTAAGGAGTGTCACAATGCAAGTTTCTTTTATTGGATCCAACATTCATGAAATACATAGGATTAAGCATTGAGCACTCA